TGATATTGCATATTCAAAGATTTTATTATGCAATTATTTTTTTTTCCTAAGTTGGAATATAGCTTTGAAGAATTCTAATAGAAGTGTTTTTGAAGTATAAGTCAAGGACAATAATATGACCTTTGTAGTTGTAAGAATGTACAATATATTTGAATATGTTTTTGTGAATAAGGATTTTCACTCCAGCTTGGTGTTTTTCTTGAAAAGAATTCCAGAAGCTAAAGTAGTTGGAGTTTTGTGTTTTAAAGTATTTAGTTTCTTGAGTAGAGAGGTGTGTTTCTGAAAGGGCTAGAATGTCAAATGCTTGAACATTAAGCATTTCAGATAGTGCCAGTTTTTTGTTTAATTGTAATAAACCATTAATGTTTAAAGAACCTATTTTAATAATAAGAAAGATGTGTTCAATTGTGGAATTAGGTATATTAGAGTTGTTGTTTGTTTTTTTATTTGTTGATATTGGAGTTGGTATAGAATTTGTATATGACTTAAGTAGTATATTGTATGTATCTTATGATAGAAGAAGTATGTAATTTGGTAGAAGTTTTGTATTATGAAATAGATAGATATGTGCTTCTTTTTTATCTTTAGTTAGTGAGATCATAGCATATTTTTTTAGATGTAAGACATAATTGTCAAGATTAGAATAGAAGAATTGTATAGTTTGAGGTTCTTTTAAAAATAGAAGGTTGTAGTATATTAGGTATTTGTTGGAACAAATGTTCAAATCATAGGAGTCTAAAGATGTTGGTAATGATTTGACAAGGTTTCCTTCTATAGAGTCATTCAGAGATTCTACAAAAGGGGTTATTGAAAAAGATTATAAGAAGTTGTAGATAGTAAATTAATAGATTTTTTATTTGGAGTAGAGTTGGTATTTGTATTAGATTGATTAGTATCGATGATTTCTTGATTTGTATTAGAGTTAGACATTATAATATTATTGTCAGAATTTGTTGTAAGGTTAGATATTGTTTTATTAGTTTCTATAAATTGTGTTATAAAAGATGATTTTAATATATTTTCTACAATAGTTTTGTTAGGTTTAGATTTAAAAAAATTCGTATTGATTTTAGGAGCTTTGAACTAGATTTTGAATTTGGAGAGTAGTGTTTTTTCTGTTTCAAGATAAAATCGTTCTTTATAAGCTTTCCTGATATAAGACATAAATAGCTTGTCAAGAGATTTGAGTATATAGAAATAGGTAATTATTCTAGCTAAGAAGTGGGTATTGATTGGTTTTAATGTGATTTTGTCAATTGCTTGGTGAAGATAAAGGTTATTTATTTGGTTATTTATAGCAGCTCTTTGAGGTATGCATTAAAATAACTGTAAAAGTAGTAACTTTCATGAGTAACATTATGATAGTCTGATTTGTTAAATTTGTTGATTTCTAAGAAATCTAATTCAGTTTTGGCTACTAGTTGTCGAAGATAGTTAATTGGTATTAGTTTTTGAAAGGTTGCTAGGAAATCATTATCATATCTAAAAATTGCGATATTTAGTATTGGATATAACCATTTAGTTTTAGCACTTGAGTTTGAATCAGAGTTTGTAAGTGCAGAATGATATTTAAAGAATTCTTCAAAAAATTTAGCTGACAGATTTTTAACATTGTGTTCAGTATTATCTGGTAATGTAGTACAGTTTTCTATAGTATATGTATAAATATGATAGATTGCTGCTTTAAAACAGAGTTGTAAATGTTTATGTAGTAAATTAATAAAAGTAATAGTGAATTGTTGATGTAAAAGGGCTTTACAAGTTTCAAAGAGTTTGAGGGTGATTTAATATTTGATAAAGTTGATTTTTTTTGTTTATTAATTTGAGTAAATTGTCATTTGTAAATGTCAAAAAAAATATCAAACCATGTTTTGAATTGTGTTAAGTAATCTTTAAAAGAAAGAATTTGAAAAGTTTGAATAAATTGTTGTTTCAGAATATTAAGAAATATGTTGATGTTGAATTTATTATCATTTTGGATTTTAAAAAGAGGTTGGTTAATGTTGTTATTACTAATACAATAATGAAGTTTGATGAATATTAGGTAGAGTTTAAGATCTTTATAGAATTTTTTGTATTGATAGTTTTATATTTGTTATAAAGAATAAGATGTAAGCATGCAAAGTTTAGTACAACTTGCATTCTATTTGAAGTACTATAAGGTAGAATCGAGTTGTATGAAGTGAAGATTTTTGGATAATTGAAATGAATAAAAAGTGTAATAGTAAATTCTTTAAGAAGTATGATAAGAATAGAGTGAATTAGTTCAAAAGAAATAACAAAAGATTGGTTTATAGAAGGGTTATTTTTATAAATAAAATCTGTAAAAAATTTAGGTTGTTGGCCAGCTAAGGTTTTAATTAGATACATATAATTAAATTTAAATACTGGTTTATTTTTAGTTGTTTATTTAATAATTTTTTTTGAATATACATTAATAAGATGTGATTTAATAAATTCAAGTATTTATAAAGCTAGTTTGTTGTTGAGTTTAATGTGATGTTTCATTTCTTTAGTAATTGGAAATTCTTTGAACCAATCAAGGTCATTAGAAGTATTTTTAGATGTTTGTTTTTGTTTTTGTTTTTGTTCTTTGGTAAAGTGTTGGGAGTTTAGTTTTTTGAGAAAAATAGATTTGTATAGTTGGATTTTGTCTTTTGTAAACATAGTGCTAAATTTATAAAGGATAATTACTTTCTTCTAGTCAGAGTTAAGTGAAGTTATCAGTTCAGTTAGTTTAATTTTAAGTTTAAGATTTAGAATATGTGGTATGTAAGTATGATGAATTAGAGAACCTTTGAAGATGCATACTGTTATATAATCTGGAGCATAGTTTTGTTGATTGTCAGTAAAGAAACATTGAATATTTTTAAATTTATAGAGAAAACAAGTATGATAGTGTTGAGAGTGTACAATTATAGTTGTAGGGGTTGGGTCTGTTTGAAAGTTTAGAAAAAGAATATGTGTTATTGAGGATGAAGAAAGTTGTGTTTAATTAGTTGATTTAAAAACTGGTGAGACTAGTAGTTCTTCTATTTTTTTAAAACTTTGTGAAGAGATAGTATTTCTGATTTGAATTTGAGTTAGATTAATAGGTTGAATAATTGTAGTTGAATGAGTAATTTTGTAGTATCAAGAAATAAAGCTTGTATGAAATTTGCTACAAAGACAGGTTGTAATTGCAGGTTGTAATGAGACTTTAAAATAATGTTGTTGTTTTTTATTATCACAATAGTCTGGTTTAGTTGTTGGTAGAAAGACTCTTAGAGCTTGAGATTTGGTCTCTTGAAACCCAACTCTATAGCAGTCTTTGTATTTAGAATAATAGTAGTCTATGTCATAGATATCTGGTTCTTGAGAGTTAGTTAAAATAGGCATTTTTCTGAGTTATTTTTGATGTTGGGGTATGACAAATAAGAGATGTGATGAATAAAGAAGTGATGAATAATGGGATGTGATGAATAAGGTAACACCTGGTATGACACCTAAGTGATTGGTGTAATTAACATAAAGCAAAATTTATGTAAATTTATTAAAACAAAATTGGTAATATTACGTTTTATTTAAAAATAGATGAAACAAAGATAGATTTATGTAAAATAATTAGTAGTTTTGATTAGTAATAATGATCTACAGGTCTGAGATGACCTAGGATGTCAGGGTTCCTCAAAAAAAGAAGAAAATTTTTTTTTCTAAATTTTTAAAAAAATTTATAAGAGAATTTCAATATATTTTTCAATAAAACTATCAGTTTTTGATTGTATAGAGAGTGTAATATATCAAAATGAAGATAAAATTGTACTGAATCTTTTTGTTTTAAGTAACTACTGTGTTTTATTTAGTAAAATAATGAGTATTTAGTAATAATAGAAATTTATTTAATTTAGTTATATTCTAGTGATAAACACTTTTAAAGATAAAAAAATAGACCATTTATATATAAATTTTATGATATACAATTTTATTTAGACAACCAAAATAGGTTTACTTAATAATAATTTGAGAAAAAAGCAGTTTTGTTTAGAAAGAATTTGGTACAAGTGATTGTCAGAAAGAGTTAGTGATTTGTCTCCAATAAAAATTTTAAATATTGATTTTAATAATATATTTACTAATTAAAAAATAATTTTAAATATCTGTTTTATTAACTTTATTAAAAAACTTCTTCAAATTTATTAGAAATCTTTAAAGTAATAAGACTTTAAAGTTTTACTTTAAAAATTTTTATTATAAAATTTTTGTTCTAAAATTTTTTAAATTTTATATATTTTCGAAACTAAAAAAAATTTTTATTTCTAATACAAATTTAAATTTTTACAAGTAAATTACAAAAGTTGTAATAATTAAAATTATAATCCTTTAAAAGTCTAATCAAATTGCTTTAAGAATTATATTTCTAAAATTTAAATTAAAATTAATCTAAAAATACTAATAAAATTTTTGAATAAATTTTTTTGTAAAATTAGCTATTTTTAGCTTATATGTAACATGAAATTTTTATCTTATAATATAAATTCTTATTTTCAAATATTTATATATAAAATTTTATTTAATAATTTTAAATTTTTTAAAAAAAGTAGATCATTACTATATTTGGACTATTCAGCAGGCAAATTTGCCTGCTACAGTCTACAGATTAAGGGATAAGTGTCACGTGCAGATTCCTTTTTTAGTATTAAATTTAAACATCAAAATCCTATTACGGTCCACATTAGATACCTAATTTTTGAACCATTATGAAAGAAATTTCATGAAATAGGAAATTACATAGCATTTAACATGTGTCGCACTTTTATTCTAGCTTAGAAAGTAGGAACATGAGGCCTAATAAAATTTTATGCAATATGTCTTTAAAAATTTTAACGTACAAAATATGTATGCAATACGGTTTAAGGGATAATTTAATTTATTAAAAAATATTCAAATTAAAATCTTATACAGTACCGTTTAACATGATTAACCAAAAAATTTCAACAAATAACTATTATCTATCTATTTTTTTACAGCACATCATTTTTGTTAAAATCTGGAAACTTTGATCTTTTTCGACTACCACGCCCTCTTTTCGAAGATTCAGCATCTTCAGAATGATGTTGACCCTCCGAAGCATTACTATTTCCTTGATTCTGACTTCTTGAAACATTGTTATGCCCATTATGAAAGCCTCTACCTCCTCTAGAACCTCTAGAACCTCTAGAACTATGGGAACCTCTATTGGCTGATGTATTAGACGATGAGTTATTGTCAAGGCCATTCCCATTTTGACGAGAAGCATTTTGTTCTTTCTGTTTGGGATTTCTATTTCTTTGAAGACGTTTCGAGGTATTTTGATTTTGGTTGTTCAATAGTTGCTTTATTCCCTACATAATGTTCACACAATTTAAATACATTAATAATTATAACAACAAAAACTTCAAATACGATTTTTAATATGAAATAAAATTACCTCAACTTTTTCAGAAACAAATCGGTGAGCTTCGTAAGCATGGCATACCATCAAACTTGTTGGGAAAAATTCATCGATCAATTTTTCTGAAATTTGTGCTGGCCATAAGTTCAACGAACTATCAGTTAAATAAATCGACATTGGATGTTCTTCTTTAATCGATTCCTTCATTAGATATCTAAAAATAAATCTCTTTATTGTGCCAACAAATGCTTCTGCCGGAATTTTCTTAACTTTCTTATTTTCCTCAACAATTACGTTAACATCGTCCATTGGTTTTAAATCAGTTTCTTCAGAATCAACGTCATTAGTAATATCAAAATCAAGTGAATCAGAAATTTCTTTCTCTAGATCCGATGTTAATGGATCTGCATATTTGTCATCGACGTATGTAATAATCTTGTTAGCAACTTGTTCTTCAATAAGCTCATATAAGGCTACGACGTGTTTGAGCCTTAAATCAACTTTTAAAATATCCATAAACAATTCATTATCGACCAAAACAGAAAGTTTCGCCCATTGTTTTACAAATTCACTAATTAAAATTTCGGAATCACTAATTAATTTTCTTTTTACGAAGCAGAGTAAAATTTCCAAACATGAAAGTAATTTTGATGCGTTTTCAAATGACATAGATTCTAAATTATCCATGGTTGAGAAAGTTTTTGTGGATGAAGAGGTAGTAGATAAATTAATAATGTTTGATTTATTATAACTTGAAATAGGTTTTTGCGGGATTAATATTTTTATATCGCTCAGAATTCTCATGTAGCCTTTAAATAATTCTAAATGGAAATTAAACTGCTCCAGATATAAATGCGATTCGTCAATTGTACTAATATGAACTTTACCAAAAACTATTTGACGCGCAAGTTCGAATTCAATTTTTTGTAAATCAAATGTAACGTCATCTCCACGTCCCATTTGTAAATTCCGTTGACTATATTGAAGAATGTCGTCATTCCATTCATAATTGATAAAATTATTTGGTTTAGCATGTTCTAAACGAATGGATCTAATATAATGATGCAATGTTGTTTCTGTTTGTGAAGTTGAAGTCACTGTTTCATTAGAGTCAAGCGAAGCTTCATCCAAAAATTTTAGTGAATTCCAGGATTCATGAGGAATTGCCATAACGTCTTCTAAAAATTTATTTTGTAGTCCAATAAGGTATTCTAGAATTGCGCAAAGATATACGCCCGAATTAACTGGTTCGATCAATCCTAAGACAACAGGGGAATCCAAATTTATCCTCGGTTTTGGATCTGGAATTGCATGACATTGATAATTTTTAACTTTATCAATAATTGCATTCCAAGATTCTGCAAAATCCTCAAACGCTGATCTCAAAATATTATTGTCGGAATATTCGAATTCCTCCGCCTCTCCTTCTTCATTATCAATAAATTGGCCAAAAGTTTGTTCCTCAGCCTCATCCCTACTTAATCGATATTCTAACTTTGAAGATAAAATTTGCACAAATCTTACAATCGGTAAAAGGTGCTTTATCAACGATAGTTCTTCAGAATGTTTAAAGAATTGAGCCAAAAATGGATATTTTTTAGAATGCCTATCTTCATCACTCAAATAATGAGCATGAAGGCTTTGATAACTAATATCAGATATGAATCTCCACATTTTTGGCAAATGTTCAAGTTGATAATTATTGTCCATTGCTAATGTTTGATTTATTTCTGCTTCGATAATATTTACGTTAGCTTGAGACTTATCGGCTTCAGCAAGCTTATTTCGGAAGTTGACTGCCGTTTCAGTGACATTCCTAACTTGTGGGGCGACATATTTGTCTTTAAATTCTGTCTCCCATTCATCTCGTTCTGCTGAGGTCTTTAATGAAACCATTCTACATGGTATTTGAACCATTAAATCCAGAATTGAATGCAAAACCAACGCTAAATTCTCATCTGAAGTATTAAGTATCCTCCTTAAGATCATCCAGTCATTCTTTATATGGTCCATGCAATACTTTCCAGCATCAGTAGCTGTCTTATTATTTTTTTGCAAGAATTCTAATGCCAGTGGTGCATGTGCCCAAGCTCCGATTATTACATGAACGAATAAATGTAAGATACGATACGAAGTCGGAGACATCGTTCTGATTGATTGTGCAGGTTCTTGGTTTATTGGTTCTCCGATGTATCCTGTCTGGTTTTTGGCGCTTAATGAAGCTCTAAGCGGATTAGCATCCAATTTTGTTTGGCCTTCCGCCGCAACATGATTTTCACCACCTAAATTAAAAATCATAAATTCACAATTTATATCTACAAAAATCTAAAGAAAAATGAATTTACCTATTTGCCTTCCACATTCAGGACATGTTCCCGTTCCATTTGTAAAACCTTTTCAAATGTATTATTATATACTGATTAGTTCTTGAATTAGTACTAGAACAAAGAATGAAGAGAATATCATAAACATTTAAATACCGCAATCTCCAATAACATACATGTATCCACATCTGCATGAATATCTAAACATTTAAATATTAATTATTAATTAATTAAATAAGCCTAAATTTGAATATTCAATAAAAGACCATAATATGCAATAATATACCTAGTTATTTGACCCCCTCGAAGGACTACACTCAAAATAATGGATTCTTCATCTGAAGGAGTGGACGGAATAAATAATCCTTTACAGTAATGTAAGTTCTGTAACAAATGAGCAAGAGGTGACGAATCGTGACGAATAGACGCATGCAAAGCAATTATATGTCCAATAACGGATTTAATCAATAAATCTTGATTATTAATAGCTTCAGTCAATCCCAAAAGTATGTGCTCATTAGAGATGAGGTTTTTGACGGTGGTTTTATAGATTGTTGAAAGATGATCAACGCCTTCAATACTTTCTTGTAAAGTCAATGCTGTTGAAGTCTCGTTTTCTGTCCATTCGCGTGAAGCCCTGATCGCGTGTAATCTGCTAAATACCAATCCTATTAATGCTAAGTGTGATAGATTTGAATTCTTCTTTTTAAACTTTGTAAAGAAATTCTTTTCAAACGGCCCTTTATTATTAAAGTTGTGAAGAGATGTAAATGTAGTCTCTAAATTATTATAATCTTCTTTCGATCTATATGGATTAAAAGGGAACCTATTCGCCTGATTATCATCTTCCCATGATAAATTTGATAACCAAGGTAATGTATAATCTTGAGCTTTACAAAACCGCTTTACGTCATCCAACGAGAATTCACGACATCGCCGCAAAGCACGCAAAAAATATATTCTAAGAGAATGAATCAATGGAACTTGTTTATTTACTTCCATATCATAATTAAGTCGATTTGTTAACTCTGATATATCAAGATCACCCATTTGTGAATTATTAATTTCTATAGGGTCTGAAATCCTATTGTCGCTATTAGTGTATTCCCAGAATCGATGAACAAATTCCTTAAGAAATGCTATTGATGCAATTTTTTGTAACGTTGTTAATTCTGATCCTGATCCTAATAATGCACCAATAGCATCTTGGAAATATTCTGTTGAAAATTCTAAAGTACAATTTGAGAAAAATGATTTTTGCAAAACATCACAACATAAAGTTGACATTAAAGATCCAAGTCCAATACTTGATAAGCAATTATTAATAGCATTCAACCTCGGAGAGAGTGTCCGAACAGTTTTAGGCATTTTAAGTAATCGAAAGAATATATCTTTATTTTTCTCATCTTCTTGTTGAAAGATTTTATGAATTATTATTGACATAAGTGGAAAAGGGTCTTTGGAGAATAATTTGTTGTAAAGATCTAAACGTATATTCGAAGTTAATGGGAGAATATCAAGACATTTAATCATAAATAATTTCCTTGGAACATAATAATCTTTAACTCCATCTAAAATTTGGAATACTGTTTTGACAAATTTGCTAGTGAAAATTTGTTGCACTCCTTCTGGATATGCTACTTTTACAATTTGTTTAATGGCATCTAATGCAATTACTTCAGTGGATATTAAATCACTACATATTTGCAAGAGATGACAATTCTCTAAATCAGAAGCTTCTGGGAGTTTTGCACAAAGTGATATAATCTTGGTTGCCTCATGTTGCCATTCTGGTAGTTGAACAATTTCTATTGATTCAAGCTCATATAACTTTTGTTCAGCTACTTCATATACAAGGAATTTTTCAAAATGGCAATCCTCCGGTTCATTCATATCACTAATTTTTGAACACATTTGTGCTAATTGAAATTTCACAAGAACACTGCTCGAATTATTCCACCAGAAAATGTGTAAAAGTATCGGATTCAACACTTTCTCAAGTCCAAGTAGCCACTTGAAAATAAGCGACATGATTTGAGTTTTCTTCGTCTTCTTATAACACGGTTCGTTTGAACAAATTACTGAGATAAAATCTTCAAAGTATAATTCTCTATTCCATTCTAGCGGTGATGATTTGAGATGTTTGACTGAGTTAAAAATATTATTCGCAAATCCCTTATTATAATCCTCGATTACATCATTAAGCAATGTTCCATCTTCATCCAGGTTTTCCGGGTCCTCATGAAGTTTGGCAATTTCTTCTTCATAAAGTCTTTTAAAGCGATCGATTTGTTTCATAAAATAATAAGAAAATGGAAATTTAAGATCATGAACTCCTCCAGGTAATGAATATATATTTGGGTTTGGTGGTGGTAATGTATCAATATTGATAACATCTCTATCCACAAACATTTCCTTCCAGAATGTTGATAATTGATCTTGATGTTCATCTTTGAGATGGGTAAGGCTTATAAATGTTTCAATTGCAGAAAATCGTTCGAGTGCGCATAATAATTTTGCTAATGGTCTTCGAACCATTGCTCGAATATGTGTTAACAATGCTGTAACAAATGACGAATGTGGATATAGGGATTTTTTACTAGATGCAACATGATATTGCCAATCTGTTAATGAATCTTCTTGCTCTATCCATTCTTTTGTTCTTGCTTTCAATGCATTGACAAGTTCCTGATTTTTAGGGATTTTTTCGGTTATGTACCTATAAAATATTTACATAAAATTAATATAATGGAATAATCAAGACAAAAAAAACATAGCATCCAAAACTTACTTTAGATGGTTAACTCCTTTAAGAGTAGACGGGTACTTAATACATAATAAGCACCATAACAATTCTTGTTTCAAAATCTCTTCAAATGGATAAGTCTCTTCAATAATTTCACAAAGATTCCCGTACAAAAGTGATGATAGAGGTTTCTCTTGTCGAACCAATGTCTCAATTGTAACTTGTTTCCACTTACACATAAAATTGAAACCTTTCCATCTCACCTGATTATCCCTATGTATGTGAAGTATTATACATACATGCTTAACTATAAAGTTTTCTTGTTCCTCTGACCCTTGAGCTTTTTCCATTTTTGCCAAATATTCTAATCGGTATTGTTCAATCAAAAATTTGGCCAATTTAATGCATCCAGCGTTAGCAGTAGTAAGATCACATTGCAATGCCAACATCGCTTTATTTGGCGAGTCAAACCAGAATCGTTTAATTTGATTTTGAAATTCTGCTTCAGTTTTAAAGGTTGATAGTTTAAGAACTTGGCAAGCAAATACGTCTTTAAGACATTTAGCAATGTCTGTATTGATATTTGAAAATGTGTTAATAATAATCTGGTGTCCCTTAGTTGTCGGCTCTGTATCGAGTAGAGATGAAAAATAATCTTCCAGATGATCGTGGTGTTGATCTTTAAAGTAAACTTTTTTGCAATGTTCTATTTCTTCTGGTTCCAATGCCGATTTCTAAACCGAAATATAAAATAAGTGATACATATTTTTTAATAGCTTTAAAAGAATTGTTACTGTAGTTACCTCAGCTCTAACAATGCCATCAGAAGAAGCAATCGCGATCAAATATTCTTTACATTTTTCCAAGATCTCCAAACTATTCATCTCCTGATAAGTCTCTTTAATATCAATTACTAAACTCTGAATAGTTTCATCAGGATTAAATCCAATAAACAGGTCACTTAATGTAAATTTATCTTGTGAAACAGCGAACTTCATCGAAGTTATAGTTGACATTCTCTTTGCCCAAGAAGTTAATTCCTCAACCAATTCTTCATGAACAAATGTAAATGCATCTCTCATTGACATTCTTTGTTTTTCGAATCGGTTTAGGAGTGGCGGATCAGCATCTTTTACTTTTGATTCATCCATTACAAGAATACATCTGAAGTTCTTTGATACGGACCTTTCAAAATATATATTATTCTTAATTTTACTTACATGTAAAAAGCTTATGAATGTGCAAAATAAATTATTGGAACTTACAGCATTGGATTTGCATAAGCGCCAAGCGCAACTCTGGTATAATATTTCGGATCATCTTTACTACCAACTACGATATAATTCTGGTTCCATAAATCATAAAGACTTCCTGTAAACATAATTTATTTATATGAATTAGTTTTGCGTGCAGAAGTTTAATCACAAATAAACACAAATAAATTGAGAAGTTACCATAGATTATATCCAAGTCAGTTAGGATAAGAGGCCTACCAGCCTCTACACACATCTATATTATGAGAGGCAAATATTAAGGTCAAAAGTAAGGAAAACTTTTTCAACATCAATAAAATACTGTACATACCATAATTCTACTCAGAACAGTATATGAATAATCACTTCCTTGATCATTTTGATCTTTGGGAAATTGTGATCCAAAAATAACGACTGGTTCCGATTCTCGCTGTCTCAATTGATAAACCAATAAATTAACAATCGAATCACTGTTTCCGATTACTAGCAAATGTCTAGCAAATTCATCTTCAAGATTTGCAATAATTAATGATTTAGTCGATATTGGTTCGTAAGTCCAACTTTGATTTGAATTAAAAATATCTATGACATTTCCAAAATATTTTTTACAAATTTCAGAATAATTATTGGTACCGCCAAAATTTCTAGCTAAAGACATTTGTATATTCTCTGGTGTTAGTTCTTTACTTGAAAGATTTTTAACTAAAGAATAATAATCTCGAAGTCCATGGAAATTTGGAATTTCTTGACCATGTTCTGCATACTCTAAGTAGGCAGTTGCTATGTGTCTTACAGAAGATGGCTGTACTTTTGTGGTTGATTGGTCATTAAGTAAACGTACTGCTATATCTACAAGATCATTAAGTGTTAATTGCGGTCTGTACATATAAATTTGTTTTGCATTTGAATTAGTACATAGATTTTATACATAATAAACTGATTGCTTCGTATTTAAAGAATGACATACCTTTGCACTAACAAGGCTCTACTGCTTTTACTATTATCCAATCTCCAATTACTAATTCCAACAACAGAAACAGTTGGTCCGTCAGCAGGATAACTTGGTTCCAGTAGAGAATGAAGAACTTTTAATGGATTATGAGGACTTGTTTCGGCCAATCCAACTTCATCTAATAATACGACACTGACCACTGGAAAATCATCTGAACTTGTGTCTTGAAACTTTTTAGCTTTTTCAAAGACTTTAATTATGCCATCGGATGTTGATGATGATGATCCTTGATGAGGAATTAAGTATACCTATTTTTTACGATTACAGTTATGTAGGCTTATATTAATAAATAGACAATTATTATTACAAAGAAATTATGCAATTTATGTACCTGAGGTAGAGTTTTAAAGTATGCATCATTGGAGTCCGAACCACGTAGGTTCTGACTCACAAGTCGAATTGCTAATGATTTCGAAGACCTATAAAGTAAAAATAAATTTATGGCTTATTCAACAAATTTATTAAACTATAAAGAAAGACGTATTAATACCCAGGTGCTCCAATAATAAACACGGGAATTTTGGTGAGAATGCAAACAATCATAACTAGCACATTTTCTAATAATGCATCATTTTTTGCTGTATTAAATGGGAGTGTCATCCTATCAACATAATCCTCTTGTTCTTTTCTAATAACGTCTTTAAACAATTCTTCCCTAATTGGAAATTTATTCTTAAGAAATATTTTACACATCTCTTTTCTATATGCTGTTCGCTGTTCTTGTTCATATAACCTAGACTGATAACAAAGTCCTAATCCAAGGATATACGAACGTAAAACTATATCAGGTTTAATAGGCGGATATTGTATATCTTTTTTAACTCGAGGCCGGTCTTGTAATGAATTATAAAAGAACTTTATTAAAGTAATAGCTCTTTTAACATCTCTTAAACTAACAGTATATTTTTCTTCAACATCTCGAATAAATTGTTGTGAAGTGAATAATAGATCGGCAAGCATTTCATGATGTAGATTATTATCAAGTTGAGTTTTTGTCATAATCTCTATATATTTTCTTTCATCATTTGGTTCCAAAACACCATAATCCCAAACATAATCTAAGATTTGGTCGGGTAATGGTTTTACTTCATAAACTAAATTACTTCTTTGTTCATCGAATCTTTTAATCTGCAATCCTGCAATGCTTGAACTTTTAGTTCTAATTCTGTACGGATTACATGCAGCAAATATTTTAACGTTTGGATGCAACATTTGATTGCCTTTATATACTCTATGAGCTATCAGATCTGCTAAGAGACCTATATGATTGCATGTATTAATTTCATCAAAGAATAACCAGACTTCGTGATCATGAACACCTGTCTGAGATTCTTCCATAAATTGATTGATCATTTCCTCTGTTATGCCAGCATGAAGATTTAAAGCGTGAAATTCAGCTTCAACCACCCTAGCAAGGAAACTAATCAAACTTGTCTATTTATAATTACAAAAACAATTTATTAATTAAACCATTAGATTCTCACATGGCTTCTTGACCATTCCATTATAAAAAACTTTAATGAAATATTCATACCTTTCCGCATCCAGCTTCACCACAAATGACTACAGGTACATTAGAGCGCGTTCTCAACAAAATCAAAGCCATCTTCAAAAGATTATCAGCTGATAAAGCATAAGGCGGATAATCAATTTTATGATGAGTTTTACGTGCTATACTTTCCAATCTCTGCAACAACAAATCCATTCGCATTGTTCTATAGTCTTCTAATTGCCATTTATCACTTGAAATGTCTTGACTTTTAAGTAAAGTCTGAACATTTTCAAGAACTTTTGCTTTATCACGATATAAAGCACAAATGGAATCTGGTGTTTGAGACATGAAAAACACTAAAAGATGATTAGAATCGTCCCAACTGGTTATGTTTCCTAATTGATCTGGTGAATCTGAAAGCGCTTGCTTTTGAGAAGTTTTGGTGTGAATTGATCGTGTGGCAAAATCTTTAGAAACATCCATTAAAGTGTTAAACAAAGTCGATCGAATGTTGTTTTCTTTGATCATTAGCCTTAAATTTTCCACTGTGAAAAACGAACTACATGACAAACGGATCTTTAAAATATATATAATTTCGATAAGAATTGTATAGAAATAATAAACTTCAATATGATAAAAATTATAATCTTACCAGTTGATTTGCAAAAACATTAATAAAAATTTCGAGGAATCGATAAGATAAAAGATCAGGAGTAATAATATTAAAGAAATATTTTGACAATAATTGTTGACATCTTTTAGTAGGAAGAGGCTCATGTGTGGGCTGACGATAAGATATTTCACGTTCATCCAATAAGAAGCGTTCATGTGCATTCAAGTATTGACAAACTACTTGAATTGGACTATAAATTTCATTTGAAACGATTAATTTTTTGAAATTGAAGAGAAGGTGTGGAGTATCTAAATAACTAACTATTGGCAATGATTTTACTAATCGATTATCCACACTAGAAGCAACTTCGATAAATATGCGGATATCCGGAAGGGTTACAATATCACTTTGGTGAGAAACAATTCCAAATGTTAATAATTGAAATAAAAACATGTTCACTTCCCAGGGATTGTCCGCTGATATAATATTAATATGTAAAGAATCCAAATTTTTACGAATGTGGAATTTCTGAAATTTTCTCACCAATTTACCAAAATCAGCCCCATCATTAATAAGGAATGTACGTGGAATAAAATTTTTCCTATAACTTTCTTGTTTGATCCATTCGGTCTTTCCTTGCCCAGATAAATTAGAAGTTACACAGACTACTTTCTCGCATATTGCTCTATAAGACTCCTTCATTGATTTAGTACTTAATCCATTGGTTACGCGAACATCTTCAGAAAATTGATCCAAAATGTGATGATGCATTCCGGATTCTTGACAACAAATCAAAGCCAAGTAAAAAATTTTGGCTTTATCCAAAAGACTTCGTATTTGTTTAACTACATAATATTGTAACTTATAGTCAAGAACCTCTAGATTAGCCATACAAAAAAGATGATCTTTGTATCCATTGGACGAAGCAAATGAACATCTCTTGATAAATATTGCTATTTCCTCAGAAGTTGTATTCGGTGTGCAAATCAAGAGTTGCCAAGCATTAGGATAAAATTTACTGTTAGCATATAATGACATTATAATATTAGGTATAACGGATCGATCGCTACATGCGGCAACAAATAGCTTTCCAGGGTATACAACATCGGAAACAACACGTTCACCACATTCTTCAAAAGGAATAGGCTCTTTTGGTAGAGATTCAAAAATGCTCTTTAATCTTATTCCAATGTCACAAAGGACTTTATAATGATTATTTTTAACATTTAATGCATCTTTAGGATTCCGTATTTGCGGTAATTTTGCTCCAAAATTGACATATCTAACGAGTCTCTCGCAAGTTTTTTCACAAATTTTTCGATTAGTTCCTTTGCTGTTGCTAAAATAGTCATAAAAGGAAAGAATGTGTCGAGCGGGAAAGAATGTTAAATAGTAATGTTCTTGTTGGACTTTCGATACTGTGCTTTCCCTAAATATTAATATAACGAATTAAATTTACATTGAATTTAATCGTAATTTTCAAATCGAGAATTGTTTAATTTCATACTCTTACCAAGCTTTTAAATCCTTCTCTAAAGCTTTAAGATGTAAGTTCAATTGCTCTAGGCCTGTAACCTCTTTAGAATAATTACGATAATTAAAATGACCAGCCTCGATAAGCTTAGTAGATTCATCAATAATATTTTGTGCTTTGTCAACTTGTAGCACAAACTCATTCATTATATTTTTTGACTCTTCCTCATCTTCATATATTGTGGATGCAGGTTTAGCTATTAACAATGCTCGACCACGTAAATCTTGTAAATCACTCATAGAATATGTCATTTTCGTGCCATTTTTAGATGAATAAGATAGAGTAGCCGAACATACATCATCATTTGATGTCCATTTAAATTCATAGACACCAATCTTGACTGCATTCTAAAAGATGATATACGGATAGTTAAACAAACAATATCTCCTAATTATTGATCGTTAAATCAGTTAAATCATTGATAAAAATAACAACTTACAGAAATCTTTTCCTTGGTTACTTCACCACGATTTGAGATAGCAGCTATATATTGTTTAATAATTGAAAATAGTTAAACAACAATCAATGATAATAAACATAAATGAAATAAAAATATTTATGCGTACCATACATGTTTTGTAATGCCATATTGTTACAATTACACAAAATAATTTTACTGGCTAATGAAGAATTAGTTTCTGCAACATTTCGTATTTCATTCAAAAATTCTTCTAACGAAAAATTTTCTGCATTTATCATAATCGGTAAAAGGAATTGTTTAACTTGAATAAGAGATGATACCGTATCTTCTTGAATAAGTCTTTCATCAGAATGATCGTCTACTCCATTAATCAAATTCTTAATATCATGATCAGCTATTGACCGAAGCCAGTCCAAAAAATCTCCAGAAAGGGATAACTCCTTAATCAATGTCCAGCATGCATCATCAAGCATTTGAAGTCTTTCACGTAATAAATCAAAAGAATCACCTAATTTTCCTAATGTCAAAGTTTCATCGTCCCTTAAGTCATCTAATGTATCCTGTAACCAATTATCTTCATCTTCATCCCTTTGTATACTAAAGATGAGTACAACTTCAGTAAGTTGTTGTAATTTTTCAATCCATTGAGTAACTTTAGAAATATTAGTTAATGTTCTCATTAATTTTGGACTTCTTTCAATTTTTAATATATCATCCATTAAATCAAGTTCGACAGTGATATCTGGAACTTTGTCCCACAAAATTTTGGAAAATGAAAATTTCCCTGTTTCCCATTTCGAATAAGACTCACACCGATGTCTATAATCTTTAAGAACATTTGGCATTATTTTAACTATCCATTTAACATTTCGCACATCTCCTTCGTATTCTTCATATATTAGATAATTAAAAAGATTCTTGAATGTCTGAGATTTCCTATATTTATATAAATCTTCGGCAATACTCAATATCTCAGTGTGCATTCCCCAGTAATTATCCAAAGATGTATCTTTAAGTGTAGTAGTCTCCTTGCGTTGATGCATCTCATAAATGTCATCTATATACTCTTTAACATCAAAGGCAATAGGTTGAGGACAAAATTCAGCGTAAAAAGAATTAAGGTAGTCAAGACCTAGTCCATAAATTCGATATTTTTCTCGAATGCCTGTTAGAATATCCTTGTTTATAGAAGATAAACCTTCCTTCATAATAGCGAAACCAAAATATGTAAGCAAAAAATTATCATCTTTCTTTAAAAGATCTTGGAGCAAAGAAATACTAATAGTTCCTTCAATCAAAATTTCAATAAGGTGAGAAATAGCATTTCGAACTTCATTTATTTGTGGATGAGAGTGTAATTTATCAACACTTCCAGTTGCTTTCAATATTTGAATCCAAAAATTTCCAGAATTAAGCAAAGAAAGGTGAAAATCTTCAGAGAATGTTTGGGAATCGAAACTAGTTTGTAATCGAGTCATAATATGGCACAAAATGTTTTCGCTAGAACTATAATGGCATGACTGATAAGTTATACTAACTTGCAATAAAATATTAATTTACACTGGCCAAATGAAAAATCAATGTATTATTATTATTTTCGGTTTAGCTAAATGATCAGCATTATGCCTGATTCAACAACTGAAATACCTTTTCGGCAACCAATTGACCAAACAAAGTATTACTGTACATTGATTTAGGCATTTTGACCAGTGTTGTTAGAAGTTTTTATTCTTACCTTGTAGGTACTTTTAATTCATTAGATTCATTAGTGGAACAATTACAAATCAGTCTGATCTTTGTCATAAGATGATTATCCGCAATACACATGGATGAATTTAATTTATCCTTCACCATAGCAATAAATGCTTCTGCAACAGGCACCTCTAATTTTTCTACTACTTTATCAACACTGTTGAAAATAATATTTTCAGAAGTATACTTAACACGATTTACTGCAGTTTCAAGCAAAACTTTCCAAATAGGAATTTTACCAATGTAAGGATAAACCTTCGAAATATGATTGAATGCCATAAAAGCAAATTTATCTTTGAATTTATTGTCCGAATTGGATAAGTTTGCTGCACGCTCTAATAAATTTCGATACCATTGCTTGCATAAAATTGAAAGTTTAGATTCATCTATTTCCTTAAATGTATTAAATACAAATTTCAGCAACTCATGGAATTTTGTCAAGAGCCCAAGATCCACAGACTGGGAAACAAGATCTAACACTTTGAAGTAATCCTCTAAAGGCCACTGAATTTGATCATTTATTAGAAGTTTGAGAATTGCGTCTAAATCCAAATTATCCTTGTCCCATTGTTGATATTGTTTAGAGGATAATAGATGTAAAGATCGTTCACGAAATATTTCAATAAACATAATTTTGAGTTGTTCAGGCAAATCATTGTAACAATTATAAAGATGAACGCATGAAAGTACATTGCGACTTAATATATATCGAACACGTTCAATTAAATTCGGTTGAAGTAATTCATCTATCTCATCACTATGAATAATAATATCTTGCCATACATTAACAAGAAACTTCATTACAGTGCATTGACGAAACAACCACTATATAAAAACAGAGTTATTAAAACTATAAATTATACTTATCACTAGCAACAATAAATAAGAAGATACCTTGGCAATCTTTGCATAAATTTCTTTATCTTCAATTGTGCGAATAACTGGAGTAACCAAAACGTTAAAACTGTTAAGGAAATTAGGCATACTTTTCTCACTATAAATAAAGTCCGACAGGTAATCAATAAATTCATATTTTGGGTCAATAAAACCGGCTACACCAAAAATTTTAAGCCAATCGAGTGAATTAATTAAACAGTTGTGTCGAACCAGAAGTGGAATTGTCAATGTCAAGATTCTATAAGTGTCAGATGGGAATGTTTCGACAGTAATATTTTGTAACGTATCAAAAACAAGAGATGATTTGAATTCTAGAGGTAATGAACTGTACTGCGAATCTCTTTCTTTCACGTAATAACCCAAAAGAACGCATAAGAAAAGTCTCTTTTCTAAAGATTTATCTTCAAGAAATGAACTCATGATAAAATTAATTGATGTAGAAGCTTTCGTTGATTTCGGATAAAGCTTCATAATCTTTTCATATTTCATAACCTTTTCTTTAAGGTTCTCAAGAGTCACAGAGTCATAAATGATTTTCACTAAATAAACATCCTTAATTTCAGAAGGAAAAGAAATTCTATCACTTTCCATCCAAATCTCATATTTATCACCCCCGTCTGCCTCAAGAACACGGTCAACGCCTCCTTCAAGTAACAAAGGTTTATGCTGTTTATGCTTATTCTTTTTGCCCTTTTCCTTGATTGCATATTTGTACTTAATAACTTTTTTTTCAAATTGAGCAAGTGGAATGCGAACCGGTTTTGACTCCCAGCATGAAGTAAGTTTTCCAGAAATTTTTTTTTCAATGAGCTTAATTGTTGGTTTATCCCACTCACCTAATTCTGTTATATTACCAACAACACCTAAACGATCAAATCAGAAAGAAAAACCAAAATTAAATTAAATAAATATACTTTTTTTAAAAAAAAATAATTATACTGTAAACCTTACATGGTATTCCAATGTCATTGATTTTTGGCATATGAACATAAAACACAATTACAACGTCATCATCATTTCCTTTCGGAAGAACCTTTTCAATAAACTTTCCAACAACATTTGTAATTCCACTCGGTTGCGATGTGGACATTCCATATTGAACAGAATGTTGCTGCACATTTTGCCCAGAGGCATTTTTATAACTTTGTATAGAGTCATCATCATGCTTTAAGTCATCATGTTCTACGCTCTTATCAAGAATTTCTTTCTGAACAGATTGTTCACTTTGTAATGAAGTAGATTTATCAGAAAAATTTTTTTGACTATCATTATCTTTTCTATTTTGATCGTCATCAATGATAGAAGAGGCAGAAAAATTTTTTTGACTATCATTATCTTTTCTATTTTGATCGTCATCAATGATAGAAGAGGCAGAAAATTTTTTTTGGCTATCATTATCTTTTCTATTTTGATCGTCATCAATGATAGAAGAGTGAACATCCTCTTCATCCTCTTCGTCGGTATCATCGAAATCACTCTCGACAGCATCATATTTTACCTTCTTTTTTCCTTTTTGCTTAGAAGATTTGGGTTTGTCAATGCTATCTATGTTTTCTTTAAAATTAGCATCTTGATTAGCATCAGTCTCGCTAAATTGTGGATTAGAGATTTCATTATCATCGTGTTGAAGTATTGTGATATTATCACTTTCATCTACATTCTCTGGTTGAATTTTGTCTTCTTGATTTTTTGACGAATCTACTAGAACTCTACTTAATGCGACATTTTTTCGTAAGGATAAACCCTTACCACTATTCTGACCATGATCTTCCTGACCCGACTTTACATTTTCAGCATGAAAATTGGTTTCAAAATGTTGTGTATTTTGAGAGTTAGAAGAGTAATCGGATGACTTTTCATTATCAAAACTTTGATCCACTTTATTCATTTGATTTGTTCTATTTGATAATGTATCTCTCATTTTATTTGATAATACATCTCTCGTAGGTGATAAGTTGCTATCAAAAGATTCAGCTGACAATGAATTTTCAGTAACATGAGAATTATCCTCATTGTTTAAAGTATTAGAATAAGTATCTGATTGCTCATTTGCAATATTACTTATATCTTCATTTAAATCATTATTTCCATTATTTGGAATCTTTCCTTTTTTTGAACGCTTATTGCTAGACCCATCACGTACCAAAGTATTTGCTGATTGAGAACTATTTTCGTTATTAGAATAAGTTTCCGATGGTTTGTGTGATGTAATTGCAACACATTCACTATCTTCATTTAACTTATTATTCCCATTATCATTTAGCTTGTTTTTTCTTCTATTGGGACGCTGAAACTCACCACGTCCAGTAGCAAATGTCGAGCTTTCACTAGAATGAAAATCATCATCATGATTTAAAGAATTAAAATCAAGCGGTGCAGTTACAATATGGTCTTTATCTTCATTTGGATTATTTTCATTATTCGGAGATCTTTTTTTATTCGGACGACTATTATTAGACTTGTCACGCATCGCATTGTTTCTTGATTGAGAACCATCTCCGTTATTTGAAATGTTGGGTGTAATTGCATCAAGTTCCCTACCATCATTTAACTCATTATTTCTATCATCGGTTAGCTTTTTTTTGCTTTTTCTATTAGAACGCTTAAACTCATCATGCACAGTAGTAGCTCCTGAACTTTCATTTAAATGAGAATTACCTTCATTATTTTGAGCATTAGGATAGGTGTGCGATGGTCCATATGGAGAAATTGCAGTATTATTCCTATTTTCATTTAAATCATTATTTTCATGATTCTGATGTTTTTTTCTTCTGTGCGAACGTTTGTTAGGTTCATCGTGAACAGTGGAAATTGTTGAACTCTCATTGGAATGAGGATTACCATCGTTATTTGAAATACTTGTATTGGAATTTGACGGTCTATGTGGGGTAATCGCACTGTCCTCACTCAAATTATTATTTAATTTATCATTTGAAAAGTTTTTCTTTCTATTCGAACGCTTATTATTATCTTGACGATTACGATTATCTGAAGCCATCAATTTGAATAAAAAGAAAAAAGATAGACTTTTAAATATATACGTACGTACGTATTTACGCACGATTGAAAGTCCGAAAACATTAATGATTATATAAAATAAATCCGAAATGTTTGACAAACTCTTTTGTTATTATGAACATACAAAAATGGATATAGTTATGTGAAACAGCGGGATGGGGCGTTTGTCATATAATACCTAATTTCAGTTTAAGAAACGCCATCATTCAAAAATATGAAAAAATGGAAAAATGTTAAAAGTCCGGAGCATTAATAAGGCAGTGATGCACACAACATTAAAACTTTTAACGTTAACTCTTCCGATTTCAGAAACATGAACAAAATTTTAAACCCAAAATTTTAGGATATTGAATAGATTGAGTGTTGGTAGAATTGTAAATTCCACTTAAAGTTTATTACTATATCAACTGTCGATCATTTCTTATAAAGGCATCTCAATAAACTTCTAAAAAGGACGGCAATGGAAAAAACATTCCCTTCGTCAACAAAGTAAATTTTCACATGCTACATTGCTTTTTAGTCAAGTCGCCTGCACTATATAAAGGATAATGATAACGATAATGTATTTTATAAAGTTCTTTGATATAAATCACTCTCTCAAACGCATGTTTCAATCATTGCAGATATTAAATTCTAGACCCAGATCGGCCTGGACCAGTTACCAGCTAAGTCTTTAAACTATTAAAAACCAGACCAAGACTGAACCAATCGATATTGTTAAGTCTAGTTAACAAATGTCACCGGGACAAACAGTAAATTTGAATGTTGAATTTATTCACTAACGCTAAGGCCATGTAAAATTATATTTCAAAAGAAAATTTATAAGCTGTTTACCAAATCCGAATCCTGTTGCAAATGTACTAACAGATTAATCAAAAGCCTTGAAATAAAATTTTTATTGGGAGGATCATTATTACTAAACTAGAGATTGTACACTATAAAAGTCATCCGAGCAACCTGAGAAACATATATTAACTGGGTCATCGATAGTGCTATCTGGACCAGATTAATTATCTGAATACAGCCATAGCCAGTGTTAATCATTTTAGATCACATATGACCAAGTGGTCATAATTTATAAATCATAAGGCAGTCAATGTTGGCTTTTCATACGGCCAAAACCTCGACCTAAACTGTTAAAGCTATTAAAATTGTCCAAAAATCATCTTTATTATATACCTAACAGATCATAACAGATCATATGCCGACACTGGCAATATAACCTAATGGAGTTCGGAATGAATCAATAGATGATAGTCCATTTTTCTATTCAGAGTTTCACTAGATTTTATTGCATGCCAACCTAGCCTACAATATATTAGATTGATAACATTAAAAATGACATATCGGCGGATTTGCGGAATTGGACTTCAATTAGGGTCCATGGATTTTAACATGTTTGTAAAACAGCATCCCGCATATTATAAGGTGACGGGAAGTATAATGGCGCAGGAAGATAATTTGGCGCACTAAAAATAACTCCCGAAAACAAGATTTCTAACAAGTGAATCGAATTTCATCCACTAAGTTTTCATTAGTCGATTTTCACATTATACGTCTTGAGGCAGAAGATTTACATGAAAATCGATTGATGAAAAATTAACCAAATTTGAAGGTATATATAAAAAGTATTTCCAATAACTTAGTGAATGAAATTCGATTCACTTACTAGAAATCTTGTTTTCATAAGTTAATTTTTAATACGGCACATTACCCTCCTGTGCCACTATACATCCCGTTATCTTATCGTTATATTCAGAGACTAATTTAGCATAGTGGGCTTTAGTTTCAAATAAAATGTTACACGATATATTCTACACATCGATACGTATTAGAGTAACGTTTCCCAAAAAAATCTTAAGGATCTTTGCTACGTAGTATTTTTTTGTTCTAAAAATAGATTTAGTATTGTCTTAATAAAAACCTTGTGTACCAATAGCTCGTTGGGTCATTTTGTTAGCAAAGGTCCCACATCTTGTTTGATAAACTATCAAAGTAATTCAATAATCCGCGAAGTAATTCGAAAGATGGATGACAGGTATGTTTGAACTAGTGATGCCGACATAACGGTTTAACATTGTTTTGTCACATGGTAAAATTGATATTAATATAAATTGTAGGTTAAAACCATTAAAAGAAAAACAATAAAGCTAGCTAAAAGTGTTGGTTAAAATAACTGCTATTACATATCAAATTAGGCCATGTAAAATTAATTAATTAATTTCCGGGTTAAAACTCGAAAACTGTAAAAAAATTTTTTTATGTTTTAATAATTGATGAATTTTTATATATGAAATTTTTTTAAAAAAAAAGCCGGCCGGCCGGCCGGGTTTGTTTAAAAAGAAATTAAATTTGTGTCCTTGTGACCTTATGTAAGAGCCAACTACGTACTGTAGCCAACAAAAGTAACGCCCGATGATCAATTTTATAGTAAAACATATAAAAAATTAAAATTTATATGATCGTAAAAGTCAATATTCTTTTTATTTTTTAAAAAAAAATTTAATTTAATTAGTAAATTCAATGTTTATATTCTATAATATGTGAGTTTCATTGAGTCAAACAAATTGAGATTTATTTTTTTTTAAGTTATGAAATTTACAATTAAAAATTTTTATGTAAAACATATAAAATTTGTAAATTTGACTTTAAAATTAAATATAAAATTTAAAAAAACTTAACTAAAATTATTAAAGAATGTTATTATATTTAAGAACAATGTAAAATAAAAAAATTATTTTATAAAAAAAATATAAGTTTTAATATAACATAAAACTTACAATTTTACAAAATTTATATAATAAAACATAATAAAAATTTAAAATTTTAAATTTATTAAAAATCCAAAATTTTAATAATAAAAATATTTTGTAATAAAAATTTTGATATTTATATTTTATGATGTATAATTTTCACTGAATTAAAAAAACCCATTTTTTTGTTTTTTTTAGTAACAAGATTTTCTAAAAAGAATTTTATATATAATTTATTATAAAATTGATTATTGGGTATTACTTTTGTTAGGTATTGTATATGATATAATATATATGTCTTACATTAAATTCATTACAAAATACAATTAGAACTTCATAAATCCACAGTGTTAAATGCACATTTCTATATTTTGCATATGTAATAAATATTTATTATTAAAATATATTCTATAAATACATTAGCATGTAATATTTATTTAATAAAAAATAACTTTAATTATAAAAAAATTTCTTAATAATCTTGTCTAATAAGATGCAAAACAGTCAAATATATTTGATTTATACATATAAATATTAATTTTTATTATTTATATAATTAATTTTGATTAGTTAATTTTTATATAATTGATTTTAATTAGTTAAAATATTTTTTCTTTATTATATTAAATTTTAATTTTTTTGGATATTGAGATAAGGTTTTGCTTATATTTTTATTGGTAATGTAAAATAGTTACATATATATATATTATTGTTAAGCCAATACTTGCAGTTAGAATTAAATAATTTTTTTTATTATTATATAATATCAAGTAAGAAAAATAGTAATACATGGATATATCAATTAAATATAAATGTATAAATAAAATATTCCTAAACTATACTATTGTTGCTATATATATAATAACATCTAGCATGATATTAACCTTTAATT